AAAATTGTTTTACACCCTCGAATTTTTAATTTACTGTTAACAACCGCCAGCTTATACTTTATACATAATAATATGTATGGGTATTAATATTTCTTAAAAACTCAGTTTGATTAGGATTTTTAAAAATGCCTATACTTTTAGACTTTAGTAACTAAAATTACTTTGTTTGTCCTGTTTATCATTCTCTACAATTATTTTTTTAATTATTTTAGCTATCTTCTTCTGTAATTTATGTTTTAAAATAAATTCCATATATATTATAATATTTTTTATATAATATGTCTTTTATAATTTTTTGCATTATTGGCAATTTATGTTTTTTGCAGTCTTCAGTTTGACAAATATTTTGGTTTTGGCATATTTTAATTTTGAATGTACATAAAATGAATCATTTAAGTGTAAACTACGTAATTAAATTCTTGTTTAAATTAAACATTTAATGACTAGATTTTTAAAGTAATAATAATAATCAAATGAGGAAAACATTATAGCTGTATAATTGATAAGAGTATCACGTGATATTCTGTCGCTGCCTAAAAATAAAACTGTGGTTGGCACAAATGAAGACAGACATTTGAATGTGTAATTAATTATTTGATGTTTGTACGAGTAGTACAAGCCAGTTTGCGCAAATAAAACTGAACGTGTAAACTCACCTTTACAGTTACTACGTACAAATATGAACAGCCCGCATATAAGTAACACAAATACATATGTCACACAATTGTTATTTGTTTAGTACATATTCATTATTTTGGGTACAGTTAAAATCTAAATAAAAATATGGGTTAATATTGGTTACGGTTTTTGATAAAACACTAGTATTCGCGTTATAGTGGTTTCGGTTTTTTAAGTTTACAAGGGTTAATTCGGTTTAGTAGTAAAACTATTTTAGATGCATAAAAAAGCTCGAAATAGGTACATAATATTGTATATTTCCGAAAATACAATTGCAAAACTTCAATTTCAACACACTATTAAGATAAAAATAAGACGGTTAAAAAGTTAGCTGTATGTTTACACCCAAAAATATGAGGTGTGGTGTCAACTGAATACGAAAGTTGTTAAAAATTAATTAAATTTGAAAATTAAAAATTGATCTAAAAGGATAATTTTAAAATAAATTGTTTTACGCCATTCATCCGATGGAAAATTATTTAGCACCAAAAGTTTTCCGTTAAAAATAAAAAAAGTTCTAAACTATACGACCATCTAGACTATTTTATTTATTTTTTGGGTTATTTATAATAAATATTTCTTTTTAACTGGACATATTTGATTCAGATATTTTTAGATCTTTTAATATCCGGAGTTATTATTTTGTCGCTGGATATTTTTCGCAAAACGTTTTTCTGTGTTGTACAACAACACGTCTTCTAAAGGCGTTATTTAATATAATAATATAATAAGTAAAAGTATAATTTAATAGTTTACGTATAAGTATTTACCTTAAACTGATTGCATACATGATACAACTATTTTGTAATTTGTGTATTATAAGATATCGCAATTTATTGCAAATATCATTTATGGAAGAAAATAAAAATACAAATCCAGCATTATTTTTAATTGTATTTTATATTATGTAGTCGCCAGACAAGACTCATGGCGCAGTCTTTGTTCTTAATAACATGTTTTTATATATTTGAGGCCTTTGTTCTTGGCTTTGTAAACTATTTTATTTTGTTTGTATTTTATTTTTGTTCTTTGTTTATTTTTATTTCAAAATAGCACTTTATTTTGTTTATAATAGGTACAATATATTATTACTTAGTTCAAGTAATTTTTCAAATTTTTGAAGAAAATTCGGGAGGGGGGCATTGAACCTTGAAATCCTCCTTTGAGTAAAAAAAGGTGCAGCTGCCATATTCTACTCTCGTGAGAACGTCAGTTAATAGTTCAGAATTTGACTGGCTTATATTATGTTTTAAATAGTTGTATAATAGTGTCTTATAATAAAGAGATGTTTTTTGCTTAACTAAACATGTTTTTTCATTGATTTATGTATATATATATATATATATATATATATATATATATATATATATATATTTAAAGAGTGAGAATTTAAACTAGACAGTAAAATACCATCATGTCATGCGATCATTTATTTTTAATGACGTTTGTTGATATTTCTTTAATATATACTCTTGGTCTATGCTCTTGGTTTTCATACTCAAGGTCAGAGAAAAAGTATTGACCATTCGCTTTATTATATTATATTATACTTGTTGGTAGGATAGCTTATGTAACGGTGACAAAGCGGCACACATGAAAACTAATTTTAAAAGTTTTTACTAGCTTATATAAGCCGTGTGAAATGTTGCACTCTTTGTTACAAACGTAACAAAGATAATCCACTCCTTCTATTTAATCGTTAAATCGTGTATTAAAAAAAAAATGAGATAAATGGAAGGTATTTTGAGTGTTCCACTGTTAAAAAATTCACACTTTGCCTGTCAAAATCGGAGAGCCCAAAAATCGCCACTTTTTCAAGTTTCAGTATTTGAGGTGCTATAACTTGGTGATAGAATGGTCGGATAGACCAAAATAGAAGCATGCTTCTATCCACTAGTTCGAATTTTAAATGATTAATGTTGATAAAGACGGTGTCATTTTTTCGTTAGTGAATTCGTCAAACATACATGTTTGTCTCATAATTATTAAAGATACTTTTTGGCAAGAAAATAATTCTGTATTTGGCAAAACATATGACTTATATATTATAAATACTATGTAGTGCTCAGTATCTATAATCAATTATATGAATATAGCTTATTTATTTTGTAATAATAAATATGGTGTGATAGAATAATCTTATTATAAGTTAATAATAATGGTCTTTCTATTACTAGTAGATGTATGTACTATACATTTTATTCTATTTTACCTATGATATTAAGAATAATATCCAAGTGTTTTTTTACCGGTCGATTTCTATGGATTTCTATGCATATCGATTAGAATGCGTGTTAAAGCTTAACAATACATTTTGTGATATAGGTTGAACGATTATTATTAATAATTCATATTTATTTTCATTAAAGTACGATAAATTGTAAATTATAATAATTTAAAACGTCATAATAACTAAAAACCGTTTAAATTTTATAATACTAAATAATAACAATTATTTGGACAGTATAATTATTAAATTTAATTATGGCAATGGGTGACAAGTAGTGGGTGGATATAATAAGGGTTGATTGTCTGTCTATAATTTGTTGCTGTTGTTACCCGTATATCGTTCTCAACAATACAATGAAAATATTTTTCAGGTACCTGTTGACTGTTGATTCACTCGCCCATAGCAACCTGGATATTTACTACTGTCTAAATGTACTTTCCCCCTTTTTTGGTTTTTCCTTATTAAAAAGTTTGACTTTTTTTAGAAACCTTTCATAGATCCAATCTTAAGTCTATTTTTCAAACCTAAGCCTCAAAATCAAATAAAAAAGTGAATTAAAGTTTTCACCCCTTTTGAAAGAAAAGGCTTATTATATTTTATTTGTTTGTCAAAGTTTATCTATTTACTATATCTACTCTATACTAAATGCTCTAGTATAAGATAGTGTTTATCTTTTAAGTACGAATTAAAACAATATCAGGGCAGATTTAGAGAGGGTGATAGGGTTCTATAGCATCCTCCTTGGCTCGCGTTGACTATTTTTTCTTGTTTGGTAAGAAATTAATAAAGGGTGGCCATTTTGTTGGGAAGCATCATCATTTTTCAAGTTGTGATGAATCTATTCCGTGTTATATGATATGGTTTATCAATTATACTCGTATACTTATGTAACAATATATTTAAAATAAAATAATTTGTTTAGTTATTATGTGGTCTTACAAATTTTTGATGATTACGATGAGTGCTAATAATAATCGTAGCAGTTATCCTAGATCCACCCTGTATAATATTACGACTTTCTTAATTAATTTGGGAAAAACAAAGTATGTTTACTGTCAAGTATCGTTGAATTACGGGTTAAATAAACTATTTCTAAACTGGTTAGCAAATGAGCATCTATAATGTTCATTCTCGTTATTTTCATTTCCTATTAAAAAATAATGAGTTAAGAACATGTAACTATTAGTTATTACTTAATGGTTTATTTTTGCCATTTCGACTAAATTGTATTTTGTATGTATTTCAGAATAAGACGTATTTATTGATTTATTTATGTTTTATGTTATATGTATATTTTATAGACCATATAAATTGCTGGTTTAGATATCATTGCCGCGTACCTAACATATTGAAAACAATGATATAAACATTTTCTACTTTTCATTTTAAAGTCATTCCCATCGCTAATACAGTACAGGGCTGACTGAGGTCAGTTGTATGCGCTGATGATAATAACATTGCTGCCGAAATACACTATAGAGAATTATTTTGTGCTGTTTGTGTGTGTTTTTGTGGTATTATTTTATAATTCAAATTTATTGACCCGACACCCTTTCTTCTGTCCTAATTTTTAACCTTTAATAACTTTAAAAGTAATTATTCAAAACGGGTTATCGACTCGTCAATATTTTCAGCAAAATTATTTTTAAGATATAAAGAAAATTATATATGTACGTTACCATTAAAAATTTAAAAGTTGACAGCTCTCTGGAAAATACGAATAAAGGTAAATAATAAATATATAGAAAATGTTAATAACATAAGTAAAAATGTTTTAAAATAGACAAATTAAAAAAATGCAATTAATATTAGATATCATGAGCCTCTTTCATATTATGCATATATTTATGTATACAAAATATCCGTAAGCACACGAATATATATATTAGTGTCTTTACGGATAAAAAGGAATAAAATATAATAAAGTAGTATAAAGTAAATATTTAATATTATTATTATATGAGCTAATAATTTCAATGCTACGCATTTAACGATGAGTTAGTGGGCATGTCCTTGTCGCTCCTTCGACGTCAGCACTGTTAAAATATCGGCACACACTCATCGTTTGGCGACGGCGCGCAGCTCACGACAGTCTACAGTTGGGCTTCATCCTATGCGCTAGTGTGTATAGCTGCCACCGCCTCCGTCGCTGCACGATTCGCCCTCCATAAGTGGTTGCTATTGAATATTATATTTATATTTTTATTATACATAATTTTGTTTACTTTTTGGTCCTTTTACGACTGTTGCGCGATAACAATACCATTGCTTGTCGTTCGAGTGTCTGTGGGTTATCTTTATTGCTCGTGTGTAAACGGTGAACCCTTGTGTTCGTCATGTGCCGGCCAATCGTCCTCGGGCGTGGAGCGTGTAATGCATTTTAGTTCCATCGATCGACCGCTTCTCGTTAATGGTGTCCTCCACGTTCACATGGTAAGCGCCTTTGCGGCATTTTCTTATTACAATCCGGGACTACCGGCGTTGTGACCTTTAGGCGGTAGCCTTTGATTTGCTTCGCTAGGAAATGTCTGAACCGGAAAAGGGTTAACCGTTTGGTGGGTCGAACTCGGTTTTATAGGTATTTTTTTTTTTGTTTGCAAATCGTCACCGAAACGATTACTAGTGTAAAAATATTTATTGCGTTTAACCTCGCAGTGACCTTAATTATATTATATTATTATTTCTAATCGTCGGACGAAAACCGAAAGACTGTCGCTTAATTACGCTTTTAGAATGTATCAGAGTGGAGGTTTTAAGGAAGTGAGTGTAGTCTTGAGTCTCGCCTTCACGAAATACTTCCGAAGCCGGCTGGTCTATCCGGTATCCACTCTCTGGCATTACGACCTTCTGCAGCTTAATCTCTATAAACAACATACCTATTGGTGTATGTCTGCTGTCCATATTAATTTGAAAGTGCCTATTACACAAAACGAACAATGACTGTAAACATTATATGTTATAACAACTTAATCGGGTTTTAAATCAATAACAAATAAACTAATTTTAATGAATCATTTATATATTTGATGGTTTATTAAAAACAAAATGAATGAAAATAAATAAAAAAAACTTGAGTTTAAACGTGCAAATGACTTGTTCATTACATTTTGCAATTAATGACATGAGAATTAAAAGCGTTGTACAAGTGACAACTTGTTCATATCCAAGTTTTTAGTTATAAAATATTTGTGAATAAAAAAATTTCTTTTTGTTATTATTTTACAATTTTTCAGATAGTTTTGAAAAAGATATTAAAAAGAGTGAACATAACCCATGTGAACTCACTGAAAATGTAATTTCGCCGTCGTGTAGAAATGTACAAAAATATTTATATTCACTATACACTTATATTCTTTTGGTTATCACCACTTGAATCAAACTTCAAATTTTGAAATCGATTACTTGTTTTGCGTACTAGGTTAATATCTAGTGGTTTACCTTATTTATAAAAATGTTATATAAAGCAATTGTTCATCACAGTCCACAAGTAAAATAATTGACGTTTTATATATGTTGCTCTTATATTGTTGTTATTCAAATTTCGGTTTATAAATACTTAAGAAATTTCAGATCTGCATCGGACAAGTTATTTTGTGGTAGCATGTCTGAATTTATACGAATCTTATGTATAAAAATAGTCAGGGTATAAAATAGCGGATAGGTAGTTTTTTTTTGTTAAAGGGAAATATTTTAAATGGGCCACCAAAATGGAAAAAAAAATTATTAATTTTAACTAGTCTAACAAACGTTTTTATTAAAAGAAAATATTTATTTGTTAATAATTTTTTAAAAAACACAAATTATACAAACAGAATAACTGAATTTTGTTTGTTTTTCGTTTGATAATACCTAGGTAGTCATTTTTACTATAGTATAATTCTCTTATTTTTTAATATCATAATTTTATTTTATAGATAAACATAATTAAAAAAATGTAAAATATTCTTTAATTACTTAATACCGAAAATATGAAAAAACCTCGAAATGTGCTTAATATGCAGTAAACATTTTTATATTTTGCTTCTTAAAAACGTTATTCAAATAAATGTCATAATGTAATAAAAAATTAAATGCATGAACCGAAGCATAATAATAGTAATTCATAGCTTTAGTTATATCTACGTGATAAATTGATTTTATTATAAACAAAATCAGTGTTACCGTAGCGAGGAGGACCACCCTCTTCACATAGACGAGGGCTCACAGTGAACTCCCTCTTTTCCTATGGGCCTATCCGACGCTTAAAAAAGTATATATTGCACATTTTCTTTAATTAAGGTTAATTATTAATAACATTTTAATAATTACTTATCATTACTGTATAATATATTACATACTCTTATAAGATTTTTTTTAAATTATTCAATTCAAGTGCTCTTAATTACTAATTTTTCACCTCTTTCTCAGTTTTTCTTTATTTGTTTATTATTCTCGTTTTTAAATGTAACATTTGAGCTATATCCGAAATTAAGAATAAAAATACAAAGTTGTTTGAAAAGTAAAAACAAAAATGTCTATATATTAAAATTTGTTTTATATTTTTACCTTGTTTCATCAACTTAAAAACACTAGGTATTTTGACAAAAAATTATTTAAAAGGAGTTAGACTAAAATAATGAAGGTTTAAAAATACATAATAATAGAGACATGTTATTGTTATGAATCGTGTAAAGAAAAAAAATATTACTAAACAAATAACTAAAAAAAAAAAAAATATGAATGTGACATTTCGGTAATATGTATTAAACGACTGCAAACAAAAACTGTAACAGGTGTCTTTTTTCATTGTATATTTACTCTGCAAAACTTGTATCAATAGTAACACTCTAGGTGTTTTCTAGGAATTTTTAAAAACTGCTTCATGATTGATAGGTTTCTAGTTGCGTTACAGAATAGAATACATTTCTTACAGATTGGCTGATGAAAATGTATATTTGGAGTTTACAACGACGAAGCGTAAACTGATTAAAACGAAAACTATTAAAACATAATGACAGTGGACAAATACATTACGGTCGTTGCTTTTTTTATAGTATACTTAATTTGTTAAATAAAGTCCTTAGTCCTGACTCCACAATATAATAATTATTATTGTCGACCGGGATCTTTATCAGAGTTTTTTCTAATTTGGTTTTGGCCCTCTTTCGAAATACTGAATACATTTTCGTTTGAAATGTGAATCAAATGTAGGCATCAGATAAAATGTATTAGATTTAAACGGATCATGACATCAAACGTAGATTTTTCTTATCTCTATATCTTTGCAACACACATTTCGAGTACAATAGACATCATTATTTTGTAATTTGGTATAAATTGTTTATATTTAGTACCTACACTCCTGGTATGAGTTATGAACAAAGTGGTTGCGTTAATTACTCTCTATACTCTGTTCGGAATAAGAACAGGCCATGCGCACTAGTCGGCCGCCGAAGCCTGTTCTTATTCCGAACAGAGTATATAATATTACATTACTATTTTCTATAAACTTCTATGTATAATGTTTAATCGAAGTATTTGTATATTGTTATGTAACGTTAAAAAAGTTATGTTTGGTTTTTGCTGATAACATCAAGTGAAACTCGATTATTGTGGTGGGTGGCACAATGCTAAATATCAACATAAACATAACATATAATGATGTAGCCATGTGCCTAACGATTATAATAACATTTAATATTTTCTATTAACGTGACATCTAAAGTGATTTTTGCAGTTTGTTGTGCCAATTCGTAAGCGGGATGTGTCCTCTGATTTATGCTTTACTTTTTAAATTTTATATTAACATACTAATTGCTCAAGTACACGTTACATTGAACTCTTCAATTGGCATGTTTTAATGTAGGTATTATGTACGTTAATCCCGAAGGCTGATGTAACAGTACTTACGAGTTATAAAAAAAAGTTAAAAACAATAATACCACTACTATGCTATGTTTCCACGCATTGGCACGTTATGCGTAAAATAGAAGTACACTTTCGATAACAATGTATTAAAAATTAAAATTTATTTCCCACACAGAAATTTAAAAACATTTATATTAACTAAACGGTTTTTAGGTTTGTTGTAAACAAATTATAAATATTTAAAATATTGTATAATTTTTAAATGTAATACGATTTAGGAAAATAATCAAAATATTTTGTTTATAATTTGTCACAACATTTGATTTCTTGCTAAGACATGATCTAAAAACTTTTGAAGTTATTAGTAAATATTTCTAAAACACTTAACAAACCTTTAATTTCTGTATGGGTTATTTTAGAAAATACGAATCACCTGTGAGTCGTGATAATGCCCACGATGAGTATTTATAAACAATAAATAAAGATAATAAGACTAATATATTAATTAATGGCAATATTACTTTTTCGAAGAAAAAGTTAAACTTTTATCTAAATTTGATCAATCATCGAAAATATTTCAGGTGCTAATTCCATGCGATCTTAAAGATTTATTTTCCAAAATGTTTTTTTCAAATTTATTTTCATCTGATAATCATTAGATTATTATAAATAATTAGATGTGCAAAAAGTAACTGTCGATATGTAGATTGCAGGTAGAATATCGTGATCTCCGTTATCATAATATATTCAGTTTGTATGATTAACACTGGAAGGCCACACAGCTAGTGTATAGTGAGAATGGGGTTAACAGGTCACCGGATATTTTGCATTTGTTCGCCCAATAAATAGAAAATGATCCTATAGGTTTTGGTGGATAGTCTAAACGTGGATTAACACGATTAAGTTAAAAAATGCAATCGAATTTATGTTATATTTGTGTAGTTCGTTTGCGCAAATGAATTGAGTTATTTAATTTAGTATTTACACGTTTAGATTATTTAGTTTTTTTTTTGTCCTATTTTAACTCTAAACCCACAAAGATATTCGTTTGTACACTTCGAAAACTGTAGGTACGAGTGTATAGTTTTTTCAGGCATCGCCTGAACTCGTGCGGTACAAATTTTTCAAATGTAAAATCATACGATTTTGATTTACACGCGCAGTTAGTTGTACAAACTAAGTTACGTACAGTTCGTTCGCGCAGTTTAACTGAATATGTGAACTTAGCTTTAGAGGACGCCAGAGGGAAGTAAAACATTATCTCATTTTTTGAATAGCTGTACAAAATTAACATATAAAACAATTATTTTTGTGATAAAAAGTTTATTAAATTATGTTATTTGTCAATAACTTTTAAGTAGATCCGCTTGATAAAATTTTAGCTTTGATGCTTCTGGCAAGGTATTTAAATTTTAATGTTGTAAAGTTGGTTCTTAGGACTTTTCGTGGTATAAAAACACACGTTTTTTCAGTTAATAACTCATAAGTTTAGTGTACATTTTGATATATGCATCCTACAAGTTATTTGTTTATAAATAATTTAGCATTAAAAAGTGATTTTTTCGGAAAACTACATTCGTGTAATA